ATGATCCTGCAACGCGATGGCGCTCCTCCTTCCCCTCACGCCGCTCGGAGATGTTACCTGATATCGGTGGGCCCCGCCCCGCCCCGCCGCCCCGGGGATCCAGGCTCCAGGCCTGGGGTGGCCTGGGGTGGCTTCTGGATTATCAGCTGGATTCTTCCCGGAGCCGCCAGTCAGGCTCAGTCGAGCCTCCAGTTGAACCTCCAGCCAGGCTCCAGCATGGCCTACGACATGGCCTCCAGCACGGCCTCCAGCACGGACTCCAGCACGGCCTCCAGCACGGCCTCCAGCACGGCCTCCAGCACGGCCTCCAGCACGGCCTCCACCCACGGCCTCCAGCCGGCCTCCAGCACGGCCTCCAGCAGGCCTAACGCCCACCATGGCCTCCAGCACGGCCTCCAGCACGGCCTCCAGCACGGCCTCCAGCACGGCCTCCAGCACGGCCTCCAGCACGGACTCCAGCACGGCCTCCAGCACGGCCTCCAGCACGGCCTCCAGCACGGCCTCCAGCACGGCCTCCAGCATGACCTCCACCATGGCCTCCAGGAAGTCCAACGGCGGGGCCTCCAGTGCCGGCCAACTTGTCCCTGTCGAAGGGAGGGCGCCGAGCCGCGCACAAGCGCGCGCCGAGCAGCTCAAAGTTGGGGTAGAACTTGCTCGAGCCCGGGGGGAGGGGGGGAGGATGCGGCCGGAGAGTGGCGGAGATTTGTTCAGAAGCCTTTCGGGTTGGCCTGCTGCCGGACGACAGGGCGACGCGCGCGTTAACACGAAATCGATGAACACTTCGTGTGTGTGTGTGTGTGTGTGGAGAGAGAGAGAGAGAGAGAGAGAGAGAGAGAGAGAGAGAGAGAGAGAGAGACTCACCAATCAGTCCCCCGTTCGCCGCTACCCTAATCCATCGCTCTCCTCGCTTTGTTGCCATTGGTTTCTTTTCGAGGAGGCACTTTAAGCGGGTGTTGCGGAGTAGGGGGTCGACCCGGGCAGAGACTGTAGTTTGGCTGTGTTGCCGCCGACGCGCGGATTATGAAATAATTGGATAATTGTTTCCGATCCCTCCGAACGTGTGGGATTGCTCTCCGAGGAATCCATTGGTGGGGTCACACGTTCGGTTCGAGTCCTGTTTAGCGGCACTGGAGCTCGAAACGCGTCTAGAATTTTGGCCGTCAGCACCGGTCTTCTGGTCCACTGTGCGGCACAGCGGCAGGAGAGCGCCTGTGAAGTCGAGGGTAGGCCAGCCCGCGGGGCACGCACGTCCAACGGGCGGGCATCCCCTATTACCATTACCACTACGGGCTAGACCACACACTCTCGCAGGGGCGCGGACGGACGGACCGGCCACAGCGACAATGTGTCCATTCACTTTGAAAAGTGTTCCAATTTAGGGCGCTTTGGCCGCATGCATCGGTCCACTGTAAGGCATTTCCTCCGAGTGTGCGTCAGGCCCGGTTGGCCCGGCCACCGAGACCGGTATTGGCAGTGCGAGGGCCTCGCTTTCAGTTCCCTTCAGTGTGCAGCCACCGAGAGTAATTACGGTTGTTTTGTTGGCCGACTGAAATGGGACATGAAATATGCACGACGAGACGCAGGGGCGCGCGCACGTTCCCGCGAAAAGAACAAAAAGTGCCACGCCGCGGATGCCTTTCGTTCCCTCTTTTTTTTTTGTTCCTGAGAAGCGCGTGTGCGGCGCAACAGGTTCCCGGTTCAAAGACGGCTACGCTAAGGGTTTTTTTTTTTGTTGTTTCGTTTTTCCTTTTATTTTTCTGAAACAATAATATTCTGAATTGTTCCGAAAGAGCTGGCTCCAAAAGAGCACGTCGTATTCATTCCGAGACCTCGCCGCACAATGGCGCTGCAATGAAAGTAAAAGTGGAGCGGCGGAGGGTGGCGACAGGGCTGTACTTTCCAAAAAGTCGAGTCACATTCCAGCCCGGCCAGAAGACAGGTGCAGGCGGCCAAACTTCGAGACGCGTTTTGAGCTCCAGAGTCGCCAAATGGGACTCGAACTGAACGTGTGACCCCACCAATGGATAGCTCTCCGCACGAGGAATCCATTGGTGGGGGTCACTCGTGCGGTTCGAGTCCCATTGGGCGACTCTGGAGCTCAAAACGCGTCGAGAGTTTTGGCCGCCTGCACCTGTCTTCTGGCCTCGCTTGTGGCCCAGTGTTCAGTGTGCGTGCAGCAATAATAACAATAACGCGCCGTTTGCTGAGGCACTGCTTGGCCGGCAGAGAAAAAAACAACAACAAAAAACAAGCGCGTAACGCAATCAAAACGGAGTGGGACGGGGGTGCATAAATCACGTAGAGCTGCGAGAAATCAAATCCATATTTATTCATATTATTTTTTTTCGTGGGGGGGATATTTTCAAGTAATGTAAAAGCTTTCAAATTTATGTATTTATTTTGACCGCATTGGGAGCGAAACGGGCTGACAAGTGTGACGTTAAGTATGGGAGCCGCTTGCTGATTTACGGCAGCGAGTCCCTGGTGTCTGTCTGTCTGTCTGTCTGTCTGTCTGTCTGCCTGTCTGCCTGTCTGTCTGCCTGTCTGTCTGCCTGTCTGTCTGTCTGTCTGTCTGTCTGTCTGTCTGTCTGTGTCTCTGTCTAGCTTCCCTCGGCGTTGTTTGTATTTTCTTTTGTCGCCACACCACTCTTAAAATTTGCCCGCTCTCGCCGGGGTTTTCATTCCCACGGCTAAGCTTCCTGTCTGTCCGTCCGCCCGTCCGTCTGTCTTTCATTCACCCCCTTCTGCTGACGCCGCTCAAGTGTCGCCAGCTTGCGCCAGCGTGCCTCGTTTCTCCCCGCAAGCAAGCCGCGCGCCGAGCGTGGCCAAGCGTGGCGGAGCCTGGCGGAGCGTGGCGCCACAGATTAGTTTCCGTCTCCATTATGCAGAATGACAGCAGCGAAAAGGAGGCGCGACTGCGCCCCACCGCCCCGCCTTACCCCACCCCGCCCCACCCCGCCCCCCGCCCCACCCACCCCCCCGCCCCACCCCGCCCCCCCCCCCCCCACCCCGCCCCACCCCACCCCACCCCCCCACCCCACCCCACCCCCCCCGCCCCGCCCCCCCCCACCCCGCCCCCCACCCCGCCTCGTCACCCCGCCCGCGCCCTGCCCTGCCTTGCCACGCCCCGTGCCGCAGCACCGATCCCGCTGGAACATCTTTGACACGGTTTCGCAGTTTGCGACTCACCGCGGCCCGCTGTGATTGGTTTGACGTCGCCGTGCACCAACTCTGCTGGGGAAGGGGGCCAGGGCAGGGACCACGGGCCGAAAAGGGGGGGGGCACCCCCTCCACCACACCCACTCCGCCGGGCGGGAGACCTCCGCTTTGAAGAGTGGTAGATTGCTCAATTTTGTCTCTCAGGCAAACAGTAATTACCACGCTCCGAAAACCTTAAAAAAAAGAGGCGTTTACAAACCAAAGTAACCAAGTATTTTGAGCATACTTAAGCTTGCAAATGGGTGGGGTCACACGCTCGGTTCGAGGCCTGTCTAGCGACTCTGGAGCTCAAAACGCGTCTTTGGCCGCCGGCGTCGGTCTGGGCAAACCCACTGCGGGGCGGCGGAGCGATTTCGCGCGGTGAGCGACCCGCGCCGCCACTGAGCTCCTGAAATATGGCAGGTCTCACCTCCGCGGCAAAAACACGGCCGCCAAATTAATTCGCGGCGCCAGCAGGCTGCCTCCCCGGAGTCGCTTCCGACGCTCCTCCGTCTCTGTCGCACTCACGAGGCATTCCGCAGGGGGGAGAGGGGGGGAGAGAGAGAGAGAGAGAGCAGAGAGAGAGAGAGAGAGAGAGAGAGAGAGAGCTGTTTAGAGGCCTGTTTAGCGACTCTGGAGCTCAAAACGCGTCTAGAGTTTTGTCCGCGTCCACCGGTCTTCTGGCCCACTGTGCGCCGAGGCACTGTGGCACCCCACTCCCAGGGAGTTCCTCTTTCTCCTTCATCGCCGTGCATGTGCATGCCGCGCTGCTGCAGGTTCGTTCCGAGAGTCGTCCGGCGTCTCGTCGCTGTCTCTGTCGCACCCACGGCGGGGTTGCGAGAGAGACAGCGACGAAGTGCTTCGCCGTGCCACCGTTGTCCCGGATTGCCGCCCCTGTCCGCGGGCGGGGACGCTGTAGACTGATTCCGAGAGTCGTTTTCGTCGCGCCGTCTCGCTCGCACCTCTACGGGAGCCCCGTGAGTGCGAGAGAGGCAGGGCGGCGAAAACGACTCTCGGAATCAGTCTGCTGCGGCGCTGTTTTTGCGGAACGGCGGTGGCGACGGCTTTCGCTCGACATGTGTCGCTGTCTCGGCCACGCCGCCCACGCCGCCCCCACGCCGCCCCCACGCCGCCCAGCGCCCCCACGCCGCCCCCACGCCGCCCCACGCCGCCCCCACGCCGCCCCACGCCGCCCCAGCCGCCCGCCCCCACGCCGCCCCCACGCCGCCCCCACGCCGCCCCCACGCCGCCCCCACGCCGCCCCAGCCGCCCCCACGCCGCCCATGCCCCCACGCCCCCACGCCGCCCCCACACCGCCCCCACGCCGCCCCCACGCCCCCACCAGCAGGCCGACTCGCACCCGCACGGCGTTTCGTCGCGCTGTCTCTCTCGCTCCCCCACCGTAACGGCGAACGCCCTGTGAGTGCGACAGTGTCGGTCCAGTCGCACCTCAGGGTTTTTGTTGTTGTTTTCTTTTGTTGAATACTTCAATATATTTCATTTTAAACAAAAGGGAGTAAAAATGTAAAAAAAGAAAATAAATTAGAATCAGTAATTTTAAATAAATAAACATCATCAACTTCAATTACAGTGGTGTGTGGTACTTGCTTGACTAAAACGGCTACAATGTTTGAAAAGCTTGGAAGCTGGACGTCACATGATGCTCCTCTGCTCCAGACAGGACAGCGGTGGCCAGACAACGCGCCTATGCAGACGGGCGACTCTCCACACGACGCATTTCGAGCGCCACCTTCTTTAAACGGCCCACTGAACGATATCGTGTTTTTGGTTGTGTGTTGCAGACGTGGAACTGGTGTACCGGGATGCCAACAACGGGCTGAGCGTGCTCAACGCAGTGACGCTGCACAGCAGAGTCATCATGACCAACTCCACCTTCGTGAGTATCGAGAGCTCCATGAAAACGACCAAGCAAACTCGGCGATGAACCTCTATAGTGGGCCAGAAGACCGGTGCAGGCGTCCGAAATTCAAGACGCGTTTTGAGCTCCAGAGTCGCTAAATAATGGGACACGAACCGAACGTGTGACCCCCACCACTGGATTGCTTTCCGAAAGAGCAATCCATTGATGGAGTCACACGTTCGGTTCGAGTCCTGTTTAGCTACTTCGGAGCTCTAAACGCATCTAGAAGTTTGGCCGCCTCCGCCGGTCTTCTGGCCCACTGTGCGGCGGCGCTTCTCTGTTTCCCTCACTCTTTCCTTTGTTCGTGCGCCTCATTTTTGAAATTTGTGTTCCGTCTTTCGCAGAGGCAGTTGAACGCCGTGGACTTCAAGGTGTCCCGGGACCTCAAGTTCGTCCTGCTCATCTCGGAGAAGCGGCGGGTGAGTGTACGACCCCGTGTCTCTGTCTAAGCTCTGCCCCCCCCCCCTTTTCTGTTCCCACTCCACTCCGTTCCCCGCCTCGCTGCTCCTCGGTCCTCGGGAGCCCCGAATCCACTTCCAATCAGCCCGTTCGCCCTTCGTTGACACTCCCTCCCCATTCTGACGTGGTTTCCTTATCGTTTTATTTTTGTTCTTGCTCTCTCTCTCCCTCCTTCTCTCTCTCTCTCTCTCCCTATCTATCCCCTGCTCCGTGTTCCAACTCCTTCCCACGGGTTGATCTGCAAAGTACGGCTTTTGATGAATTTTCCCAGCCAGAATGGCTGCCGCTCGAACTGGCCGAGAGGCAGCCTCCCTCCCATCAAACTTGGTGTGCTTCCCTCGACATTTTCTCGCCACCCGCTCCTGGAACTCTGACCCGGCCCCCCCTCCCCCCCCCCTTTTCTCCCGCCAAGCCCCTTTGCCTCGCCCCATCCCCCTTCCCCCTAAACGTCAGCGCTTCCTCCTGCTCTATTCGCTCAACAACGCCCTTCTCTGTTGACAGGTGTTCGACTACTCCTACGAGGCCAAGTACACGGTGTTCGAGGTGGCGACACAGTAAGTAAACCGCGAATTAAGGGCATCACTAGCCTTGAAAATTTAAATTTTTTTCAAAACTTAAAAGGCCGGTCGCGCCCTCAATTTTACTTCTTTATTTTTTTTTTTCAAAATTAAGTACAAATTCCGAATCAGCAGAAAAAATGCTACAAAATGCGCCATCTAACTTTCAAGAAAATTTCGAAAAAAAATGTGTGATTTCGACCACTCTTGACGCTCTTGCGTTGCAGGACGCGCTACCCGCTGCGGGTCAACGAGAGCGACGAGCCGGGCGGCGGCGCGGCCGGCGCCAAGTGGCTGCAGCTGGTGGACTGGGGTCCCACGGGCAGCCAGCTGGTGCTGGTGCAGGACAACGACATCTACTACAAGGCCAACGGCTCCACCCAGGCCCGCGCCGTGCGCCTCACCAGCTCCGGCAAGAGGGGCGTCGTCTTCAACGGCATCCCCGACTGGCTCTACGAGGGTGCGTAGCACTGCGTAGCAATGCGTACTACCTCCGTGTGTGTTTGTGTGTGTGTGTCACTGACTGTCTGTCATTGTCTGTCATGCCCCTCGCCCCCCCCCCTCTTCTCTCTCTCTCTCTCTCTCTCTCTCTCTCTCTCTCTCTCTCTCTCTCTCTCTCTCTCTCTCTCTCTCTCTCTCTCTAGTCCTACATCATCCCAATGATTGTTAATTCAAATCCCCCCAATAAAACATTTTTATAAACTAAACTCTCTCTCTCTCTCTCTCCCCCTCTCTCTCTCTCTGTCATTGCCTGTCATGTCCCTCGCCTCTGCCTGCAGTTGAGATCCTGCGCAGCGACCGCGCCATCTGGATTTCCCCGGACTCCAAGTACATGCTCTTCGCCTCCTTCAACGACTCCCGTGTGGGCGAGCTCAAGTACCCGTACTACGGCTCCCTGCAGGAGGGGCTGCGGTACCCGAAGATCAACACGCTCCGGTACCCCAAGGTGAGTGAGTGAGTGAGTGAGTGAGTGAGTGAGTGAGTGAGTGAGTGAGTGAGTGAGTGAGTGAGTGAGTGAGTGAGTGAGTGAGTGAGTGAGTGAGAGAGTGAGACGCGTTTTGAGCTCCAGAGTCGCTGAATGGCAGTCGAACCGAGCGTGTGACCCCACCAATGGATTCCTCGTTTGGAGAGCAATCCAATGGTGGGGTCACACGATCGCTTCGGAGTCCCATTTAGCGACACTGGAGCTCAAAACACGTCTGGGATTTTGACCGCCTCCGCCGGTCTTCTGGCCCACTGTGCGCACCCACACGGGTAACATGGTCTTGATTGCAGGCGGGGACCCCGAACCCCGAAGTGGCCCTCCGCCTCCTGACCCTGGACGGCAGCGGCGGGGTGGGGCAGGCCCCCGTCGAGCTCAAGCCGCCGCCCTGCATCACCAACAGGGAGTGAGTACTTCACAACGCACAAACCAATAATTCCGTCGCTCTGTATCTCTCGCACCTGGGCGCGACGCCCCGTGAGTGCGAGAGAGACAGCGAGTCAGTCTGCAGGTAGAGCCGCACTGGAATGAGGGGTGCACTGCACTGGTAAAACTAAAGCGTAGTTTTCAAGGGTAATCAGCTTAAGCTTGAAACCAAGCGTAACAGGCTCCCTATCTAAATGCATGGTGAGATTTCTAGAGTATGCTTCATTGTAAAGTCTTCCAGCGAAACTCTATGCGTGACTCAAGCATGGAGTTTCGCTTCAGTTTTACCAGTGTGTAATAGAAGATTTTAATTGGCGAAAATGATCGGTTGAGCGTGTTTGGTAGTGAATTCCCCTCCCCCTCTGGCGCAGGTCCGACTACTACTTCACGGCCGTGACGTGGATCGACAGCCAGTCCTTCTCGGTGGTGTGGATGAACCGGCGCCAGAACCTGTCGTGCGTCTCGGTGTGCCGGTGGTCGTCCTGGAACTGCGACGACGTGTACGACGACCAGTCGCCCTTCTGGGTGGACGTGTACCAGCCGCCCGTCTTCTCGGCGGACGGCACGCAGCTGGTGGCGCGCCTGCCCGTCAACGACGGCGAGCAGGGCTCGTTCCGGCAGGTGGTGCAGGTGGCCGTGAGCGGCGGCGGCAGCGGGGCCGGCGCGCTGGCCGCCACCTCGCTCACGCCCCTCACGTACGGGCCCATGCACGTGACCGAGGTGCTGGCCTGGGACGAGGAGAACCACCTCGTGTAAGTACGCGGCGGCACGCGGCGCGCCGAGTCCCCGGTCCCAGACCCGATCTTATACACTCTCGCCCTATTATTGACTTTTCCGTGAGTAACCAGGTCACTCTAAAGCACCACCGCGGTTGCAGGTACTTCGTGGCGGCGCCTTCGTACGCCCCTGACCAGCGCCATCTGTACCGAGTCCCGGACGCCAAGGGAGCCGCCGCGGCCGCGGGCTGGACGGGCACCGCCACGGGCACCGCCACGGCCTCCGGGCCCGCCGGGCTGACGGCCACGGCCGCGCCGAACGGGGCCCCGAACGGGGCGGCGGGCCCCACCTGGCAGTGCCTCACCTGCCCGCCGTGCCCGCCGCCCGCCCCGGTCCTGGAGCCCGGGCAGGAGGAGGCCGCCGTCGTGGAGGACGACGACCTGCCCATCCCCGAGGCCACGGCGACGGCGGCACCCGTCAACGCCACCAGGTGCGGGGACGCACAGTGGGCTAGAAGACCGGCGGAGGCGGCCAAACTTCTAGACGCGTTTTGAGCTCCAGAGTCGCCAAATGGGACTCGAACCGAACGTGTGACCTCACCAATGGATTGATCTCCGAACGAGGAATCCATTGGTGGGGTCACACGTTCGGTTCGAGTCCTTTTTAGCTACTTCGGAGCTCAAAACGCGTTTTAGAATGTTTAGCCTGTCGTCGCGCTGCAATCTCACTTCATGGGAGGCCTTCTAGCTCTCTCCCTCCCTCTCGCACTCATGGGACGATCCGTGGTGCCAGAGAGGAGGGAAAGACCGACGGAGGCATCACTCTGCTGCAACTGCAACCAACCCCTTTTGCTTTCAGCAGCAACGAGACGCTCTGGGACTGGCAGTGGGGCAACCCGGGCTCCGCCGTGTGCCTGTTCAGCCACGCCCACTTCCCGCCGGGCCGCAGGCTCCGCTTCTACATCCTCGAGTGCCAGGGTGAGGTTCCCACGATGGCCACGCCACCGTAAGCCCCACCACCGCTAGCTCCGCCACCCGGCGGACTGATTCCGAGAGTCCTTTCCGTCGCTCTGTCTCTCTCGCCCCTGCAGGGGAGGCTCCACGAGTGCGAGGGAGACAGAGCGACGAAGACGACGACTCTCGGAAGCAGTCGCACCTAATTACCAGGCACTGAACTATTCCAAGTTCGCCGTTCGTTGTTTTGTCCTCGGCGAGCGCGTCGTCGCGACCCTGGTTCTTTGCCAAGGGCCAAACAACTACTTCGAGAAATTTTGTGCACCGTTTTTTTTTAATTCACGTTATTTCCGGTTATTTTACGTTATTTCACGTTGTTTCAACGTTATTTTGCGTTCTTGCAAACGTACACCAAAACTCAAGTTGTTTCCCCCTCGTTGTTCGCGCAGGCCCCGAGGTGCCCGAGGCCATCCTGGTGAACGCCACCAGCAACCTGCCCCTGCTCAGCCTGCAGCACAACTCGAGGCTCCGGGACATGTTCAACAAAAGGGCGCGGCCCCAGATCAAGACCTTCAAGGTGCAGATCGACAACGACTACCACGCGCAGGTGCGCCTCTTCCTGCCGCCCGGCCTGCGCGACTACGAGGAGGTCACGTTCCCGCTCGTGCTGCACGTGTGAGTACCGCTCGGCGCCCCGCCGCCCCTACAGTGGATCAGAGACGCCGACCCGAATTGGGCCAGAAGACCGGTGGAGGCGGTCAAAATCCCGGACGCGTTTTGAGCTCCAGAGTCACTAAATAGGACGCGAACTGATCGTGTGACCCCACTATTGGACTGCTCTCCGAACGAGGAATCCATTGGTGGGGTGAACGCTCGGTTCGAGTCCCATCCAGCGACTCTGGAGCTCAAAACGCGCGCATAGTTTTGGCCGCCGGCGCCGGTCTTCTGGCCCACTGTGCGCCCCTAGAATGCTTGCTGCTGCACGATCCCGGCACTGCGAGAAGTACAGAAAAAGTACGGAACGTGTCTGGTCAATAATTTGCCTGGACCGTCCGTACCTGTCCAACTACGGAACTTCTGTACCTTTTTTCCGCCCCCTTTTGCATGAATTCGTATGGAACAAGTACGCACGTTCCGTACTTCCGTACTTTAGTCTTCTGTTCATCTTCTGTTCAAAATTTCGGATTTTTTTTTTCACAGTGTGGGTTGATGCTTTTCTCACTGTCGTGCAGCGACGCCGCTCCCGGCTCGCAGCTCGTGTCGCAGCGCTGGGCCGTGGACTACTCGGCCTACTTGGCCTCCAACCGGAACTACATCGTGGCCGAGATAGACGGTCGCGGCTCCGGCTTCCAGAGCGACCGCTTCCTGTTCGAGCCGTACCGGCGCCTGGGCTCCGTCGAGCTGGAGGACCAGATCGCCATCGTCAAGTAAGCGTCGCAATTATTTCTCGTTTTCTTTATTATTTTAGTTTTCGTTTGTTTTTGTTTTTTTAGTTGTTTTTTTTTGTGAAGGACATATATGCCCGGATTGAAATGCCGCCGCCGGCTGGTTTGTTCTCAGTGCGGCGTGTGCAGGAATTTTGAAAGGGCGAGGGGGTTGAATCCGTGCTTTTTTCCTGCATTCATGTGGAATGTAATGCAATTTGCCCACCTGAAAGACGCTTGTCTTCGTGTCCCAAAGCGATCATGACACCCCGCGCATCTGGTTTTCCTCCTTTTCTCTTTCTTTTTGTAAATCTTTTCTGTTTTTGTCCTCGCAGGTACCTGAGCGACAAACTCAAGTACGTGGACCGGGACCGCGTGGGGCTGTGGGGCCGCGGCTACGGCGGCTTCTCGACGGCCATGATCCTCAGCGAAGACCGCAGCCCCGGAGTGTTCGCTTGCGGCATCGCCGTCGCCCCCGTCACCAACTGGGCGCACTACGGTAAGGCCGACTGGCGGGGCCGTCGCCCCCCACTCACAGTGAGCCAGAAGACCGGCGCTGGTGGCCGGGACTCTGTCTGGACGTGGTCTGAGCTCTACAGTCGCGAAACAGGACTCGAACTTCGAACCGACCGTGTGACCCCACCAGTGGATTCTTCGTTCGGAGAGCAATCCATTGGTGGGGTCACACGTTCGACTCGAGTCCTGTTTAGCGACTCTGGAGCTCAAAACGCGTCCCGGCCCGAGGCGTAGCGGCCCGAAAGCGCCTGCGAAGTCGAGGGTAGGCCAGCCCGCGGCGCACGCACGTGACGCACGTCCAACGGGCGGGCATCCCGCACACTCGCAGGGGCGCGGACGGACGGACCGGCCACAGCGATAATGTGTCCATTTATTGCGGTGCACTGCCTCTGCCTTTGAGCTCTGAGCCACCGAGCTGCATTAAAACCCCTCGCCCAAACGTAGACCGGAGTCTTCTTTGATAGAATAACCCGAGTTTCAGAAGTAAACTGAAGGAAATGTAGTCATACTTAATAGAACCCATGTCTCTTCTCAGAGCGGCCTCGGCGAACTTGGGTTTGCACCCAGGCAGTAAAAACTTGGAGAAATCGTGTACAGACTACTCTTACTTACTTACGCCGAAGGGTGTGGCTACCTTCTCCCCTCGGTTTGCAGAGTGTTCTCCACTTTTGGTTTCACAGTGGGCCCTCGTGTGTACTGTCCGCAGATTCCGTGTTCGCGGAGCGCTACCTGTGCACTCCAAACGTGACGGACAACTACCGCGGCTACGAGGACGCCGACGTGAGCAAGAAGGCAGGCAACCTGCGCGACAAGCGCTTCCTGCTGATCCACGGCACGGCCGACCTGCGCGCGCACTACACGCAGTCCATGCTGCTGGTCAGGGCACTGGCCAGAGAGGGCGCGCTCTTCCAGCACCAGGTAGGCAGCCGTAGGCACCGTAGGCAAGGCAGCCGACTGATTCCGAGAGTCGTTTTCTTCGCTCTGTCTCTCTCGTCCATCCCCACTGGGTCAACTGTGGATCCGCCACTGCTTCTTTTTCCGCACCCTCTCCAAATGCGGACGAAAAGTGAAAGACCGCTAGAGTTTGAAGTGTTTCCTCCGTTTCCAGACGTACCCAGACGAGGGCCACGACCTGCGCGGAGTGCGGGACCACATGTACCGCACCATGGACGCCTTCTGGGACGACTGCTTCGGCCCGCTCGACCTGGAGGACTGGGAAGACGGGGTGGGGCTGTTCTCCTTCAAGCAATAGTGGCGCGCCCAGGGCGTGGGGGCGGGCCCGAACCGGTCCGCCCTCAACGGCGCCCTGCTGCACAAGGCCATCCTCACGCAGTCCGTCGGCGCCACGGGGCCGCGCCACGGCCACGCCCCCACGCAGCGGCCTCCCGGCCACGGCCACGGCCACGGCCACGGCCACGGCCTCGGTGGCGGTGTCGGGGGGCCGACGGCGGGGACGGCACCGACGCACCAGCCGGCCCCCATCCGGCACGCTGCCCGCGGCCACCGAGCGGGTTGAAGGTCCTGGAGGCCCTGGAGGCCCTGGAGGCCCCAAGGGCGCCCCACGAAGCGCCATCCCTCGTTTCAGAGCCTCTCCGACGCGTCGCGACGTGGCAGTTGGTCCTGCCCTGTCGTGTTTCGCCATGGTTCCGCCGTGCCCCGGCCTTCATGCTGCGGATGCTCAGCTAGCCGCGCTAGCGCACTGGGCCCGGCCCTCGGCCCGGCCGTCTCCAGTGTCTAGTTTCGCCGTAGTGTGAATGAAACATGCATAAAAATGCTCAACGTCACCCTAGAGTGAAGCAAAAATTGCGCCTTTAATCATTTGCTTTGGGGCAAACAAATAGGAAAACAAGTGGGGAAAAAATATACATAGAAGGACGGGTCAAAATTTGTGCTAATGTATTTTTGGGGGTAAATCAAATTTTTTTATATGGCTATCTGTGCTAACTCACTGACTAAAAGTTGATTTCCAGGAGGACCTCAAGTCAGTTTAGAGTGTGGGAGCTGATTGTGGCTTTTGCTGTGCAAGCCAGTTGAATAGTGCTAGGTATAATTTTTAGAAATTTTGAAGGGTTGCACAAGGGGGGAAATATGTGGTTTACTGCACTCTTTTTTGTAAATTCTGTTACTTTAAAATTCTTGACACAGATGCAAGTTTTGTAATGATATAGGATTGGATCTATGGGTGTGCCACCACAGTCAGCAATGTTATTCTCCACAATTTGTTGAAATAAGCTTCCAGTTTTCACTCATATTTTTAATAAAATTAAACATTTTAAGAGTAACACCTTAGCTGTTTTAAAAAGTAACTTGGTGCTAAAACAATACCAGAAAATATCCACGTATTTCCCCCTTGGTCACGCATTTGGACGAACTGCTCTTGTGTGGTCTATGACACACACCACTGAGTAGCAGGGAGCATCAGAATACTACTCAGCTGTCCAGCATCGTCACTCAGCTGCTCAGCTGAGTTGCTCTTGCTTTGATTGTATTCAATTGCCCTGCTACTGTACGGAACCTCTTTATCTTGGCTAGGGAAAATGTGCAACAAATAGCAGCTGCTGCAATACATTCACGCAATTGTCCTGGGCTGGATTTTTAGTCGTGAGCAGTGAAACCTGGAATGGTAGTCACATGTTACAATTGTTGTCACATAACACAAATTTATTGATGTAACGTGTAGGTGTTGATGATGTTGTTTGTTTGGAATTTGGCGAACTTATATTGCCCCATAATAGGACAATACTGTGCAAATTTGAAAACTTTTATCTTTTAAAACTCATGCCCATCCAATGGAAAGGAGCTGTGGCTAAAATAAAATATTTGTTGTTGAGAGGGATAATCATTCCTATTGTTGATGTTTACTAAATAGAATTTATTCATTAATTTTGCATTTGCATGTGTACTTATTGTGTGTCTTGAAATTATAAGTGTGATTTTTGTGATTTAGGAAGAAAAGTTTTAGCAGTAATACTTTGAAACGTGTTTGCTCTCCCTTGACTTCTCTATTATACATCATGACGCCAAACTTATTGTGTGATTTTGCTGCAAAGGAAGATCTATTCAAAACTTAAACAATAACCAAGGGTCGAGAAGTGAAATTTTCTATTTCTGTAGAGAAGAAATTAACAGTACTTCCTGATCTGAAGTTGCATCAATAAACACATGTGGATTGAAAGAATAGCTGCAATTCCAGAAAAAGTTAAAATTGTGATGGATTTCTAATGATAACAATGTGTGTTTTGTTTTTCACTATTGTGTGCTTTAGCATAGTGAAAGAAATGGTGGTTTTGTGGCAGTCAAAATAAAATACAGTGCAGTCAAAGCTAAAATGCTATCAGATAACATATGAAGTAAAAAAAATCTGTATGTCTGTGTGATCAATATTATTAGTAGCTAGGTACGCATTATTAATTAATTATTGGATTGTTTAAATTCACTAGGCAAAGGTCTAAATGTCTAAAATTTAGTCAGATTTTGAGGTGTGTCCTTTCAGTTGCTTCTATAAACTAAGTCCTCCTCTTACATCTTAAACTTGTTCTATGTATAAGTTGCCTTGTGATTCTTATTAATATGTGTAGTGTTAATAACATCATCCCATTTTAAAGCTCTTAGCTGTACTAGACTGCTTTTCATAGTCCAATTTGAGCCTTGTGTGACTTAATAAGCAATTTTTGGAACAAATCATCCCCTTTCAACCAGAGCAGTTAAAAACAAATTCACATTAAGCATATCAGCATGATACTAAAAGACCTTGTCATTCCCTTTCCTTGTAATTGTTGCAGTTCATTAATGAGTCCTCTTTGAAGCTTTCACTTACATAATCTGCAATTCAACTTTCCTCTTTCCTTCATTTCTTTTTTTTCTTATTTTTCCCCATTTTATGCTGTTTTTTTAGATGTCATTTAAATAAGGATTTTTCTCTATGAAATAATTCATGCTTTCAGTGTTGTTAAGAAAACCAAATTGATGTGTTGTAGTCAAGTGCCTACTTGATGTACACAATACCATTGTACAGCTTTAAGGTATGCAAAGACTGTCATTAGAAAATGTATTTTTTTCAACCTGTTGTGTGTACTTTGTTAGTGAATAGGGGATGGACTGTTAGTGTCAGAACCTAGTTTTTTTTATAAGTGTCGTCATAATGTGAAAATAAAATTCCGCACAGTATCCAGCTAACGTTTCATTACTCTCCAGTTGTCACTGACCCACCACTACTGCATTCTGAAAATATTAAATGGGGGTAAGTTGGGAAAGAAAAGTGCAGGATACAAAAAGTATATCCTTCTTTTTTTTTAATTTTAAATACATAGTTATAAAATTTATACAATGAGAAGAAGAATAATCTTAGTAAAAGACATACAGGAAAAAATAAACTAAACAAAAAAATAGTACTTGATCACTTACATAGAGTGATAAGGAACAAAAAAAACTAGCGAACTGTACTAATATCACAGCAACAAATATTTCCTTGACTAATTGTGGATATTTATTAGACTTAATAGATTGGAAGTTAATGATGCACTTTTTTTTATGTAATCAAATTGATTGGGAAAAGTTAAGATAACAAAGCAGAACTGAGCAAAACTTACAGACACACATTTGTTCATGCATCTGTCTTCCAGATCAATCGGTTGGGGAGTTGAATGATGAGTTTACTTCCATTCCTTCATTATTTGATCATATTCCTCTTCCTCAACAAATGGACGATCAATAGACCTGAAACATGAGCAGAGAGCAAGCATGTTGTTATGTACCAGTATTCCAGAATGAAGTAATTCTTCAATTCATTTAGTAAAATAGGGCCTTACTTTATCATAATTTCTCCACAGTAAAGACATTCAGAGGCAACAATTGCATCGATGTCTCCTTTCAGTTGATCTCTAGCAGAAATACTTGCAGAACTAATTGAGACTGTATCATCTTTAGATGTCATTGAAGCAAGTTGTCTCTGAAAAACCCATACAATGTATGTCGTAAGATTATGTGTATGTGCTCTGGAAGGCAACGTTACCAATATTCACCATCACTCACCTGATACTCATGAAGCTTGTTGCGCTTGCCAGATGGGAGCACTGGCTCCAGCTCTTTCAACAAACAATCGGAATGGAAGGAATGCCCACAAGGGAAAAGGTAGAACGGCCTCAGTAATAGTTGTAATGAGCATTCCTCACAAGTTTTAGAGCTATTTACAACTGTGTACCTGAGAAATAGCAGTGAGAGAAAATGAAAAGAAAAATCAAACTACGGGTATGTTTTTCTATATTCTAGCACAGGGCTACAATTAATTTCGAGCAATACCTCTTACGGAATGAGTTAATCTCGTCTCGGATGAGCTCTGCAGACTTTGAAGCTTCTTCCATTTCATCCTTCAAATCTTGAATGTGTTGATTGTACACCTTAAGAGACCAAAAAGAAAAAAACATTAAAAATATCCAGTTTTAAATAAAACACACCTGAGGTAATTCAATTAAAAAGGTTTACCTGCAATGAGGTGCAAATTGCATCTTTAAAGTGATCAATGGTAACAAAATCTGAGAAAAATGGAAGTATATCTTCTATTTTCACTAGAGGGCACTGCTGGAGGAACTCCATGGCTTGCTGAATGTCATTTTTCTCACTCACAACATGCTTAGCTGAAAATGAACTCAATTAAATCACTGTAAACCATAAACTGCAGAAGGCATCAAAACCCTTCAAAACACTGACCAATTTTTAGCCATAGCTTCTTCTGAAGTTCTGGATCACATTGCGGTTGACTGGCAATATCTTTGGCTTGCTGAATATTCTCCTTCAGTGCTAAATCAACAGCAGACTCCCAAAGACCCAGCAAAGCAGACAACCTGACACAGGCTTCATTTAACTTGTGCTCACGACATAAACGTAAAGCATAGTGAGGATCATAATGCACAGACGAAACATCATCTCCTTCAGATATCAAATACTTCTTCAGTCCATTTGGCTGGAACTTAGCATATAGCATCAGAAGATAATTGTGGATGGCCTGGTCTTTGACGTGCAATTTGTGGACAGAAAACTCTAAATAAAAGATGGCTTCATCCACTACTTTGGGATCACGTAAGTCACAAGCAATGAGGGCTGGTAGTAGTTTTACAGGCTCTAGAGCGCTTCCCTGAGATATAAGAGCTGATATTGTTTGCTTGGGCCTCGCTTGCATGAGGGCTGGAGCAAACTCATAGAATAATTGCTTTTGGTGTTGGCTTTTAAGAACTTCAAGAGCTTCTCCATAGTCTCCTTTGTACAAATGATGACGGATAACCTTTTCAAAGTCTCTATTAATGCTTGTAAGCTTCACAAGATTTTCTTTGTCTCCATGACTTGCAATTAAACTATAAATTTTCTCACAGTTGCGTTTAATACAATCCTGCATTTAGAACACAAGATGGTTAGAGACAGAAATACTAAATAAGGCATATCCAAATTGTATAAAAAGAAAATACAAACCATCACAAGTTTTTCTCCAAGAAATGCATCAAAGTCCTTCTGCAAGTTTATATATTCTACTGACTTTTCCTTCTTCTGGTCTCTTAGTTCTCCAAGTTGGTTCAAAAACAATTCTAATACCCATATGACAATCATAGTAATTTGTGTTTTGTCTTGAGGGCGCAATAATTCCAACCGCTAAAAAAAGTGGTTCAAAATTTATATGCCGTACTCCAGGAAAAAAAAAAATTAAGAACAAGGTAAATTTTAAAAAAAAATCATACCTTTTTCAGGAACAGCTTGAGAGCCTGCATTTGACGAACTTGTAGAAACTTCAGTGAAATTTCTTCAAATGAAGACTGAGTTTGGGCATAGTGCACTGCACTTTCATCATACCTAAAACAGAAAAAGATAAGAGTATGAAAGAGACATGTCAGCAATTTTTACTAATAAAACAAATAATGCGCTTGAAACAAAGTAAACATACTGTTTATCATCAAAAAACATTTCTGCCTGCTTAACCATGACCTGATCCATAAAAGCAGGGTTATTGCCACAGTACTTTTTAGCTAAATCAAATTTTCCCTTTTCAATGTACACCTGAAAGTAAACCAGTATTAGAGCATGCAATGTGTCAGGTATTCAGACTTAATGTACAGATCAATGCTAACCTGCCACACATTGCGATCTTCTTTAGTAACTTTGTACTTGAACACGGCTCTCTCTGTAAAAGCCCAAATGGTACTTTTAAGAGGATCTTTTGTAATATTGATAAGCTTTCCGAAGGCCTGTAGGACAAAAATTAGAGTCAGAAGTTTGCAAAATGCAGTTGAATTTTTTTACTGAGTTAAGAAAAATAAAAACCAACCTCATTAAAACCATCTTCAAATACAACATCATTGTTCAGAAGTGAGACACCTTTAACATGATCAGAGTACATAAGCAATGCATGAAATTCTGTTAGTACAAATGAGATGGGTGCTGAGGATGGATAAGTCAGTAAGCCGCGCTGGCAAATCACTTTATCATCACCAGAATTCAAATCCAACTGTAAAAGAAGTCAATGGGATTCAATGTCAAGATGTCAGGTAAGAAATCAACGATAATAAAATATTCAAACATACCTCTCCACAAAAGAGGCCACGTTCAACAAGCCAAGCACACTGTGTTGGAAGTTTACCTTCACTTGGATAGTAAAATTGCAGCTTGGAATACTTTAACTTGGATATCATGCTAACAAATTGTTCTATAAAAAAAAATATCTTTCAGTTAATTTGACATCAAGTATAAGAGTAAATAATACTTACATGGAGTACTTACCTGCTTTGTTCAAATAACCATTGAAAATTTGTTGAAAAAAAGGGCGTTCATTGACATTACCAGCAGAGCCTCCAAATTCATAAAGACGTTCCAAAGTCGTTACAACAATAAAGTAATTGTCAGAGTTTGGTATGCAATGAAATTCTATTCCGGTGATAGGGATGTTGCTCCCTCTCCCAATATCAAATACCTACCAATGTTACAAAGAAACAAAAAAAAACAGAAAGTTTACAAAAACGATTTGTCACAAAAATTTGGAAGAGTCTCAATCTTTTATCTCTTATCTATAGTGACATACCTGCTTGAAGTACTGTTCCAAACTATTTCCAGCAAAAATTCTATCACCATCAGTTCTAATTTCTGTTTCAAAAATTGCACCTTTGGAAGTTCCCAAGAGAATAGGGCCCGTGCTTGTCTCGGAGGACATGGTGAAGCTCCAGGCAACAGATGTCACTTCTGCTCCCTTAAGTTTACTTGTCTGCAACAATCATAAAATATAGTCAAACAAAACAATAAGAAGGATACATAGTATAAGAGGGAAAGAAGACTTACAGGTTTGATCTTGGTGGATCTTCTATTGAGATACAGCAGTTGACAGTATGGTTGGACATGGACATCACCCTGATGCCGAGACACAGCAGCAAGAAGCAGGTGTTCGCCAGATGGGTCCAGGTATAGCCCTGTGAGTCTCAGTTGGTTTGTGAGCACTTTACTCATATCAATTACTGGAAAAAAAAAAAATTTAATTAAAATTTTAAATAGAATAATGAAGTACTTTTTAAAATACAGCGGAAGGTTTCTAAATGGATACCTTCTGGCTTGTCGGGTTGTTTCAAATCTAGTCTGAGAAGTTGCTGATTGGCCATGGCAAGAACAACAAGATTATTGCTCACAACCAAATGGGTAATAGACTCCGGAGGAGCAAAGTTCACCTTCTGCTTACTAAACATTGGCACTTCTTCCTCAAGCTTCATATGTATAAACCCAGTGGTACTCTATCACAGAGAAAAGAAGAGAGAAACAATAATGTCACACACAGTAAAGGAAGAAGCGATCAAAAGCAGCTACGGTAAAAGAACTTACCATCTCTGGTCGAGTAGGTAAAGTTGACGATAATTTAGATCTTGGTTGGTCGTACTGATCAAACAAGTTTGCCATGGTGTCGTGTTATAAAATCACAGCTAGGAAACTGGAAGCACACAAAAATAAAAATTTGTCACTTAAATAAATGAAGATGCATTTTGTAGATCACAGACAATGAAAACTCAGAGAAATGAAATCAAGAGTACATTTCTTTTCTTTTCGTTATATTTATTTTAGTTTTCCAAAGGACAAATATCAATGACATGACATGTCAGCTTGAAATGTTAAAGTGTCAGTCAATCAAAAGAGGTTAGCTTTTTCTACCAGAACAACGGGATCTACCGAGTAAACGTTACAGAGAAGGGCCACAGCTTTGAAACACTTTCATTTTCACAAAGGTTGGAGGAATTCTATTCATTCGGAAAGACGAAACAGTATTTAAACATGAAATCTTGACTCAGGGAAAATTAATTTAACTACTTTAAAGGCCCTACAAACACTGTTTTTTATAGAACGTACAGAAATTTTACCTTTGAATTAGTAGTTTTCAGTTGTGTAGAGGAGAGCAACAAGAGCGTCGCCTATCCTAACACAAATCACAACAAATACACTCCACAAAGTTACGTTAACCTCATTTGAAGTGCCAGACCATCCCCTAACCCCACCCATCCAACCACCTCTCTTCCCTCACTCCTGGCCTTCCCCTCCCCTCCCCCTCCCTCCCCAGACTGTCAAATTGTGAATGCAAGCAACTAAAACAAATAAAGCAAAAATGAATGTTGATACACCTATCTTCAAGCTTCCCACTAGCATTACTGATTCAAATTTTACTAACAAATTACTATTGAGACTTGGCCTCCTCCGATAGGATTCTACCTGTCGATTGGGCAAGAAGAGATAATGCGAGTGTTAAATTTATCATGCAAATTATATTTTTATTTTCAAATCGGATTGTAATTAATTAAAACATTTTTAACACATTGTTTACATTGATTTATTTTACTTTCAAGTGAGCACTTATGAAATAATCTACATATATCATACAAAAGGAGAACGGATACCTCACACAAAGCCTCCCTAAACAAAATAATACAAAATTATGAAGTTTCTTTGGTATTTCAAGCTCCTACAGTATCTTGATAAATTCAATACTCAGTCAAGCATAAAAATCTTCTCATGCGCGCAACTCTACTCCCTAATTTTAATCTTACAAACATCATAATGAGTGATTTCATTCCAGCGATCAATGAAGTTTAGTTGGCTTTACCCTTGATGTCACCAATTCAGCCAAGGGGTGAAAGTAAAAACTAAGAGCACTAGTAACTTCTCTGCCAAGGTTTTTGTATGTCAGGCCGACTATTTGTGTCTTTTCAGCCCATCTGGGTATTTCCGGTAAAAAGACAAAGCAAGGACCAAATTTCTCTCAAGAAAATAGCAAACTACCACAAAACATTACTACGCACTAGATATACCAGAAGTGATGAAGAGCTCACCAGTAACTATTCCTAAGGAGCTTGTCTCATGCTCAGGAAGAAATTGTGGCAAAATAATAGGTCTTAAATAACAAAACAATTAAGAGGAACATATTAGGGCTAAATTGACATTTCAGCCAAATTTTATACAATTTGGTGACATTAAGAGCTCGATGCTGTATGGTATGGAATCTGTCAAGAGTTAATTTGAGTTCGACTTTACGAAGCAACCCAATTTGTATGCCTTAAAAGCAGTTTTCACGTCTTGGCATGAACAACATGGTATGTAGTATACTCTAATGAGAGTTGAAGTAGGCTAGCTCTTGCCGTAAATTTTCTAAAGTCCTTTGATCTCTTTGAAGCTCTGTTTCTTCTTTATTCAGTAAATTCTCCAAGCTACAAGAAACAAAAGACACCATCAAAGTTATGTACAATAATTCACAAGTATTATTAATTTATTTACGTACCATTTGCTGTTTTCTGAGCTCTGTGAAAATTGGAGTTTAGCTTGGTTCATTTCACGAACAGCTCGGCCCCACTGCTCCTTAAAGTAGGCTTTTGATTGTAATGACTCATTCAGTTTTCCTTCAAGTTGATCCTGTTTGTACATACCATGTTATCAAAGAACCAAGCTCAATAAAATTAGACAAGGAAAAATATATTTTGAAAATAAAATTTTGGGCCACTAACCACTTGAGTTATTAGTTGCGACACTTGTTTATGGCTCATTCCACATGTTTGGTTAGCGGGAGCAGCTGAAGCTTTCTGATTGAGTTCATGTCGTAAAGTTTCATTTTCAGACTCAAGCTCTTTCAATCTAATTTCAAGCTTTGAACATTTGGATTCAACTAAAGCAACCTAGTAACAGCATAGGAATAAAAGATACAAAATGACCATTATCCTTGGTTAACACAAATGAGTAATAGAAAAAAAAAATAACATACCTTGAGTTTCACACCTTCATCAAGCCTTTGGGCGGCAAGAGTGAGTTCTTGGAACTTTATTTGATACTGCATGTCCAAACTCTCCTTTGCTTTCCGCAGCTATTAAGAGAGTGAGTAAAACATAAAGTCAAAAAAAAAAGAAATAAATCGCACACCAAAATATTTAATTGCTCAATGCGCATACCTCCTGCTCTCTTGTAGAACATGTTTTTAAACGGTCTTTGAGGTCCTGCTTTGCACTGGACAATGTGTTAGCCATAGCTTTGCACTCCTCCACTTTGTTCTCTAGTTCAGTGTTCTGTGCCTTCACTTTCCTTGTCCATTCTTCAGTAACTCGTGCAAGGTGTTCAACTTCTTTCTGTTTCAGCTGCATGAAAAGAAACCAAGACGTCCAAATAATTTTGCTGTGAGACAAAACTAAATAATGAGAAGTACTGAAGTAACCTACTTCTGCTAAAAATATTTCTTGTTGCTTCTCTTTCCAATCCTCTAGTTCTTCAACAATTTTGTAAGCTGTACTGGTATCAAGGGGCATTGTGGGTTCAATTTCAACAAGAGTACGAGCAGGGACGCAATTAATTTCAGGAGACTTAGATGTAATTGATGACTGTTGTGGTGGATGTTGAATGGCATCACCTTTACTGCATTTAGATTTAATGGCTTGACCCTCCTCAACAGCAATAACCACTGGTAATGTGGTTTCTTGCATGGCAGTACAACTTTTTGAGGCTTCTTTATTCAAGGAATGAAAGCTGCTGACCCCCAACTGATTTGCAGCCAATTTCGCATTTTGCAAAGCTTTGGGATCTGCTGCAGTTTTTCCAGCACCAATTCTCAGAGAATGATCTAGATAACTATTTTCTGGTGTTACAGGGGCGCCCGCGCCTGCACTTATGTCCTGATCAATTCCAAGTTTAATAATTTCATCTTCTGGTCCACAATTTGCTTTTGTTGGTGCAATAGTTTGAGTCAATCCAGGGGCTACTGGGATCCAAACAGGACCATTTTGTGAGGTCACAATGAATGTATCATGAGACTGCCGACTCTCGGATCTGGAAGAAGTATCTTCTGAAAAGAAAACAGAAAGGAATGACAGGAATGAAAACTACATCTAGTTAATAATATGTGTATATTCCTGAATTTCCTTACCCTGAGAAACAATACATGAGGGAAAAGATAAATTATCACACATCAGTTTGGTCTGATTGGTAACTTGCTGGGCTTGGTGAGGAGTTGCCTGAGATGCAGCGAGTTGCAGCTTGGTAGTAATCTCAACACTTGGTTGAACACCACCGTGCACAGGAAAGCTTCTGGATCTTGAACTCACTAGTTTACACTTTTGTGAAAATGATGTCAGACCATTAAATTCATGGGCAAAGGACTGCATGTCATTGGTGGGCACCAAAGACTAAACATGAAAATGTAGAAATAGATTAGGATGCTTTAATAAAATAATATAAAATGTCTTTGAGTAGAGTTGTTTAAGTTGAAACCTATTTTCAGTAACAGACCCTTATGTGCAGTTCAGCAGCAGCAATTTCTTGTCCCAAATAAAACAGACTAACTAACGCACAAGGTTTCTCTTGTAGATACTGGTGCAGAACTGACAGTGAAGTGCGTATGGGGAGAACGACTTCCTCATTTATTGTGCATACTGGTCCGGGGCTCTTATCTCCAAACAGCTTAGTTTGGAAACTGTGACCCATAAGTGTAAAGGCAATTTGGAAAGGTTTCAAGTTGCTATCAACATCACAAAACTTTTCGTAGCCGCGGAGTAACTGCAAGCAACAAGTTTATTGAGGAACACATTGATGAGATAATATTTATATACAACATATTTTACGAATTACATACCAGTTCCAATTCAAGAGCATGTTTTACAGTGAAGTTCAGGAGCAGCAAATCAATGGATGAACATTCTGACCCCAATTGAATACAGCCTTGCTTTAATTCTGGAGCAGGTAGGGTTGATGCTGGATTCGATGGTCTTGATTTTTCTGCGTTTCTAGAATCTGCTGCCTCTGTCTGCTTGTCAGGCAACACAATTGTAGGTGGGATACTTCTACCCTCCTGCTCAGTCAGGAGAAAGAAACACAAATAATGCATACTGAACAGTACAGAGGTAAGTTAACTTTTTTAAATTGTAAATAAATTGTACCCAAATACTGCTTGGAAGAGGCTGGCTCAAGGAATTGGGCTCTTGAATTGTAAGACTCAACAATAATTCTGGTTGAAGTGCTTTTGCTTCAGCAGGCACACCAATAAGTTTGTGCCATTTCTCATTTACCTAAACCAAAAAGTTAATTCAACATTCAGGATGGTTTCTGGTTTACATAAATTGTGTAAATACGTACATTGTTCAGTGATCCCCTTGGAAGAACTTGGGCAGATTTAATGTTTAAAAGTATGGAGCCAATGCAATCGCGTTGGTTACTTGGGCCAACAGTAAAACACTCTAACTTCATAGGTGTATTGCTTGCCCTGAATCTTCGAAGGTTTCTCTTGTCTGTTTCCCAGACCAGGTCAATATGGAACAATGGATCTGGACTCGGTGGAACCACCTCAGTTTCAAGAAAGATTCCATTTGTTCCCGCAACTATTACAATTGGACTTTTTAGGAAGCCAAAACCATGACCTGGCAACAAAAACCAAAGCAAGCATTTTAGGACATGTGCAAATTTTAAACACAAAGCTGATTCCTGGATTATAGAGAGAGAGCAAGAGAGAGAGGCTCCGTGCTATGGCCTTTGCATTTAGCATAAGGTTCGCTACAAAAAATTATACACATCCACTAGAGAGAGTTCTGCTAGTTAGAGAGCTGACTGGTGTGATTTCTGTTAATGTGTGCATCTTTTAATAACTTTTTGTTCAGATGCAACGAATGATGGTGACAATGCCGTATAAATGCATTAAACTGACAGTTGAACTAACCTTCTCTGATACTCAATTTTAGATGAATAGATGGACCACTTAGTTCTTGCAAAGACATAGCGCTTCACTATGCGGTCTGCATTGACATGTACCACACAGGTTGATACAGATCATACAGACTGAGGGTGGGATTCAATTTGACCTTTCAGCACAAATCAAATCAACAAATCTGCGCTTTGGGTTTAAAATCTACTGTTTACACCGCCATGGAAACACTTGGATCGGGATACGAAATTTTCATATCCCCATGGTGCAGCGCTATGAAAAATTTACACTCTGTCTGTTATTTTTCTTTTTGACGCTTGAACTACATTTGAACGCTTTTCTTTGTCTTTGTTTCTATTTTCTCATTTCTGATTTCGATTATAAATGTTCTTTTACCATAAACTTTATGCAGCCATTAGACAACTATTTTGTTCTTATCTCTTAGCCAATCGCGGCAAGAAAAACATGAAGAAAAAGCAAAGGAAGTACTTTGAGTCTTTGCAAGGCGGTTATGGTTTCTTTCCGGTTTAGGTGGTGGCAATAACGTGTAAGTGTGTGGATTTTGGAAAATTTGTTATCCCTTTTCATCGACCATTATTGGGGAAAGTCTTGAACGTAATGCATCGCTTCTCAATTTCGGAGCCTTTCTCGGTTTACTCCGGCCCTTGATCCAAATTCACGAAATCGCTAGATGTGAAAAAGCCGTCAGTGCATTGCAGCTCAGTGTGCTGCCGTTTCTCGCCGCTGTTTTGGTTTCTTCACTTCTGTTGCATTTTCGCATCTATTTCACCTTTCACTCTACAGCACATATTTTCCGAGTCGTGCTTTGCCTGAATATTGATCTATCATATTCTTGTTTTTGCTTTTACCTTGTGTTTACCTATGCGTTACTTCCTCCCGGTACCAGCTACGGTACTAAGTATTCGCCGAATTTCCCTCTACATGCTTGTGTCCTAAATATAGTTTCGTCAACGCATTTTTAAAAATAATTTTCCTTGTAACTTCGTCTATTTTTTAGTCTGCATTCGTTACGCAACAGTACTTTGAAGTGGATTTGTTTAGTGGTTCCTAACCTCTCTCTCCGACGTGGTTAACCCCTGACACACTGTTAACAGCCTTCTGTTTTGCGTTTCAGAGCCAAGATGAAACAGATCATCGGTAAACAGGAGGTGAAGATCCCCGAGGGGATCAAGGTGTCTGTCAACAAACGTGTTGTTACCGTCACCGGCCCCCGTGGTGTCCTCAAGAGGTCGTTCAAACATCTTGCCCTCACCATGTACATGACGAAAGGCAAAGAGCGCAAACTTCGCGTTGAGAAGTGGTTTGGCAGCAAGAAGGAACTTGCAGCCGTGAGAACCGTCTGCTCTCACATTGAGAACTTGATAAAGGGAGTCACCAAGGTAAGACAGTTTGACAGGTATGCCCTTTAATTTTGAGTGAATGGAGGTGGAAGCTAACAATTTGTGTCACCTGTTGTAGGGTTTCCTGTACAAAATGCGTGCAGTATATGCTCACTTCCCCATTAACTGTGTCACCTCCGAAAACAACACTGTCTTGGAAGTACGAAACTTCTTGGGTGAGAAGTACATCCGTAGAGTTCAGATGGCCAAGGGAGTTACCGTTGTTAACTCCACGAAACAAAAGGACGAGCTTATCATCGAGGGAAACAACCTTGAGGATGTTTCAAAATCAGGTACGCAACTTGCTGACAATTGAAGGTTTTGGGATTTTCATGCTGGCTAGCTTGAGCATGGATGCCATTCAATACCAACAGGATCTAGAATGTTCTGTGTTAAAGTCTGAATTCGTTAATTTGTCTATTAAGGTTCATGTCAATCCTCTTTAGGGAACTGACTTCTCTGATGTCATTCAATTATCTGAAATGTTATTTTGTTGAAGTTCTTTAGTGCCTTTACACGTATGCTTTAATTTCATTAAAAACTCATGATGATCAATCTTTCGGGGCTGACAGCACTGATGTCATCCAATACCAACATGTTCTGATATGTGATTATGTAGAATTTATGAAATGCCATTAGATTTTTATTTGATCTTTGAAAATTCATGATGATTAATCTTTCGGGGCTGACAGCACTGATGTCATCCAATACCAACATGTTCTGATATATGATCACCGTACAGAATTTATGAAATGCCATAAGGTTTTTTATTTGGTCTTTTATTAAGAATTCGTGATGATCAATCTTTCGGGGCTGACAGCACTGATGTCATCCAATACCAACATGTTCTGATATGCCTCTATTTAAAAGTCCTGTAATGTCATTTTTTACTAAGACTTCATGATGTTTACATCTTTCGGGGCTGACTACACTGATGCCATCCGATGTTCTGATATGTCTTTGTGTAAAAGTTTTGAAATGCTTCCAGATTTTTATCTTTTTTTTTTTTGGAAATTTATGATGGGGCTGACTACACGGATGTAGTCCAATACCAACATGTTCTTATGTGTCATGTAGAAATTCTGGAATGGATTTATCTATTTTATGTTTACTGAGACTTCATGATGTTTACATCTTTCGGGGCTGACTACACTGATGCCATCCGATGTTCTGATATGTCTACATGTGAAAGTTTTTAAATGCCACTAGATTTTTCTTAAACTCATGATGATCAATCTTTCGGGGCTGACTACACTGATGTCATCCAATACCAACATGTTCTGAAGCATCACCAGATGTAAAATAGGATATTTATGTTCAGATAGTTCATATTCTTGATATTTCCTTTTTTTTTCCTCTTGCGCTGGTGTGCTATGTTAACTCCCTGTTTTTGATGTCTTTTTCTAACTCAACTTTTGTTTTGCTTTCAGCTGCCCTTATCCAACAGTCCACAACCGTCAAGAACAAGGATATCCGAAAGTTTTTGGATGGTCTTTATGTGTCTGAGAAAACAACTGTTGTCCAAGATGAATAAACATGGTGATACTTGAATTCTCATTTCTCTCAGATTTCTTCGCCTCTTCCCCCCCAACTCTTTTTGTATGTATTTATGTGCATTGCTGAAATTTAATACTTATGTACAGTAGTATTAATTTCCCCAACTGCTGAAGTTGATGTGTTTGGGACGCTGTCGCGGGCTGGCTTCGTTCCGGTCAAGCAAGGACGCTCAATTTTACTGGCAGTATAGGCCTTGTACACCAGAAACACCAATTTTTGTCCTCATTTAAATTTACCTTGACTCAAGAAAGTGGATGCTTTGCGGCTCAGGGGCCTGCAACTCTTGGGACTTAAAAATATGGCTGTAAAACGCCCCAGGGAACCTAGCTGTAACCAATTATAACTTTTTAAAATTAACTCTCTGTTAAAGGAGGCATTCATTGGAGCCAATAACATCATATATTGGATTGATATTAGTGCCTGTTCATGAGACTATACTCCAATAATTTTTGAAAGAATCAGTGGCTGATAATGGAAATCGAAGTTGGCATGGAATTGCTCCCCAAGGAGGGTTCCCCACCTGTCCAGAGTGCCAGAGTTACACACCCGTGTTGCGGCCCGGCACCCGTAGCTTCACAGAAACTGGCCTGACAGTCCTTACTCGACAAGCAAGTATTATCCGTTAAAGTAGGCTACTTACTCTGGCCTGCAATGGGACAAATTTGCTTGCCGCGTGTAGATATAGATGCGCAGTTGACTGCTGAAAATCGACCGTAACATACGTCGCGCAACAAATGAGGGGGATGTCTGGACAGCTTTCCTGTTCGCTCAGCGCCGGGAGGGTAGGCAACCCAACGCACACGGCGTCCGCCACCGCGTAGATACTCCGTGCCTCAGAGGTGAGTCCAGGGCAAGGATGCCGGACTGTTGACGGACGTCCTCGCTGTCGTCAGCGTTCAGATCAGGATTGCTTGGATTGCTAGTCTCAGCATGGGATGAGAATCCGGAACTAGGAGCAAAGACTAAGATCGGAAATGGGAAAAGGGTCACAGCACAATACTTTGGGGTCGCGGTGTAGTGCCTCGGGTTGCGATACATACCATCCCGCCTCCCTCACCGTAGAGGCAAGAAACGTTATATTACGTACCCAGGTTAAACATGTCTTTCGACGCGGAAGACAGTTAAAAATACAAAAAGGACAAAGTAATTAGGAAGGTAATAAATAGCGTAAATTTTGCGTAATTCTGGTTGTACCGGGACGGGAGGGAGTTGTGCTTCCCGCACTTCCCGGGGTAGTACAGCTAGAGAGACCGCCGCACGCGACTCGGGTGGGTCTAGAGACGGCTGCAGGGGGTGGTGTTGCGACAGTTGCCTATCTACAGAGGCAAGGTGCGACTAGTTTTGCTTTTGGGGCAGTTTCTCCTCCCCCCGGATCCGCGCTTGCCCGACTCGCACTTTGGCGTTGGGGCTTCCCTCCCCTTCCCGCGGTGAGCAGGGGCCGGGTACTGCGTGGCTAGCAGGCTGATTCCGAGAGTCGTTTTCGTCGCTCCGTCTCTCTCGCACTCATGGGGCGTGCCGAATAGGTGCGAGAGAGACGGAGCGACGAAAACGACTCTCGGAATCTGCCTGCTAGGGCGCTAATGCGTCGCGCGGTCCGTGCTCGCCCTGACGAAGATAGGGGCGAGGCAGCCCGGCGGCACGGGGGCCCTGCGCCCTGCGGCGCGGCAAGCCGTGGGGCCCCAGCCCCGCCCTTCCCGCCGTCGCCGCCCGTCCGCGCCCGTCGCCTCTCGCGTTCCCGCCCATCCTTCACGCGTCCTGGCCGCCCTGAAGGCAGGCCGTCCTCCCCGTCCTCGCGGCCCGCAGCCCGCCACAGCCAATGGGCGGCGACGTGCCTCCGCGTGCCAAGCGTGCCTCGTCCCGGGAGTGACGCCCCGGCCAATGGCGCGCCTGGGCGCGCCGCCCCCACCCCACCACCACCCCCACCACCGCGGCGCCGTGCCCCCTCCCCCACCGCGCCTCGCCACGCCCCGCCACGCCCCGCCAAGCCTCGCAGCCTCCGGTCTCCAACTCGTAAACGGATCTGGCCCGCAGCCCTCCCCCGCCTGCCCCCACCCCGCCCCGCGCCGTCGCTAATAGCTTGTTATATCCTTGCAGTTAGCCGCCATCCAGGCCAGGCAGGCAGGCAGGCAGCCCCGCGGCCAGCCCGCAGCCAGCCTATCCGCACCGGAGCGGCGGTGGTGGGGGTGGCGGAGCAGCCGAGAGAGTCCTTCTCGTCTCGTCGCTTCACTTGACTTCAGTCCTCGCCCTCAGCTCGATCAGTGCAGTGCAGTGCTACGGAAGCATCCCTACCAGTGCATCACCACCCTTGCGCGAGTGCGTGTTAGTGCAAAGTCAGTGCGGTGTGAGTGTGTTTGAGGAGTGCCGCTATGCAGTCCTTCCACAGCCAGCTGGAGCTCCACGGCCTGCACAACATGGTCCTGAAGGCGCACCACCACCACCACGACGACAACAACAACAGCAACGAGGCCAAGAACATCCTCATGCAGCACCCCGCGCTGCAGCAGCACCCCCTCATGATGCACCACCACCAGGACTCGGCCACCCCGAGCCCGTCCTGCTCGCCGGTCGTCGTGGACGTGCTGCCCCCCGCGTACACCTCGCCGACGACGTCGTCGTCGTCCGCCACGTCGCCCACGCCGTCGTACAGCATGCTCAACGCCAGGCATCAGGACGGCGACAGCCCCTCCAAGTCCAGCAAGGCCGGCGATGACTCGAAAGGTGAGCACGGGCGCCGACAAGCATGCTGACAAGCTGGCAGCGCCTTCGCGATCGCAGTGTGTCGCGCTATCAATTCGCTGCCGTGTCCTGTGTCCGCCGGGCGGCCAGGACGGCGACAACGGCGCGGACTGAGCGACACCGGCAGGCCCCCGTCCGGACGTGTCATTAGCCGCTAATCGGTTTGCGGTCCATTGGGGTCGTTATCGGAGTCCCTCGCGTCCCCTCGACCCGACACATGCAGGGGAGGAGCAGGGAGCGGCCTGCCGCACGGCCTGCCGTTGCTGTCTCTGTCGCACTCATGGGGCTCTGAGGGCGCGGGGAGGACAGCGCGACAGGGCAGCGCTGGCAGCGCGTGCCTCCCTGTCAGGGACTCCCTGTCGCGCAGTCCGTGTGTGGGGCGTGCTGGGGACTTCCGGGGTGGCCGACGGACGGTGCCGACGGACCGCCGTGGCTACTACCGGGGGCGGGGCGGGGCGGGGCGGGCGCCAGGCGAGTGGAGTTACTTAGCAGGCGGGCCAGAGGCGCCACCTAAATTAGTTAGCGTCTCCGGGATTGAAACGCGATACCCCAGCCACTCCAGGCAAGCAGGCTGGGCACGCAGGCGGGGCGTTCCTGGGGGCGTTCCTGGGGGCGTTCCTAGGGGCGTTCCTGGGGGCGTTCCTGGGGGCGTTTTTTGGGGCGTTCCTCGGAACGCTCCTCGCGGTGACGACGGGTCATTATCACCCTGCCTCGCTTCGCGGTGCTTCCAGCGCTTCCGCTTCGCCTGGCTTCGCATGCTTCGCACATCGGGGGAGCGTACGACAGGAAAGGACAGTCGTCCATCCATCATGGTCTAGTAATCGGTTCGCCGTGTTTCTCCGTGGTTCGGCCGGTGCCCAACCCTGCCACCGGGTGCCTGACAGTGCCCGACCGGCCGGCCGGCCGGCGAGGCCGAGAAGGAAGCACCTTTATTGCTTTTATTGCTTCATGGATGCCGAGACGCCCGGGCGGACGGCGGGACACGGCGGCACCGGCGGCACACTGTGTGCGTCTGTGTGATGGGCGATTGGCAGGCCTGCTGATGAGGGTGACGGGTCCGAAGCGCAGTGCGACAGCTTCGGCTGTCATAAGGCGTGTTTCTCCCAATTGTTTGCCGTCACATGACACAGGTGACACTCACGTGACGCGCTTACAAACGACATGCCTGTTTTAGCCCTGTGTCTGCGCGCTGCCGCCGCCACTCCGCCGCCCCGTCCTAACGGCACTCTCCGCGCTGCGCGGGTGGGGTGGGGACTAAGTGGGGACCGGACTGTGCCTTTCCTTTCCCGCGAAGAGGGCTCGCTCGGAAGATCTCGGAACGTGAGGCACTTGTCGCTGACTCCAACCTGTGTCGTCTTTTTGCAGATCTGTCGCCCGGCAACGCGGGCAACGGCAACAGCACGGCGGAGCAGAACCTGCGCCGCTACCGCACCGCCTTCAGCCGCGACCAGCTGGCGCGCCTGGAGAAGGAGTTCCTCCGCGAGAACTACGTGTCGCGGCCGCGGCGATGCGAGCTGGCCGCGCAGCTGCACCTCCCCGAGTCCACGATCAAGGTGAGCGGCCGTCCTCTCCTTTCTGTTCGGCCCCGGCATCGGCCGGCATCGCCCCGCCCGGCCCACACGCAGCCCGGCATCATGCTGGCATGCAGCAGCGCGGCATGGCACCGTAATGGCCTCTTAGTACCCGGGTGGCAATTGGAGTCATTAACGCCTCGCCGCGGAGCCATCCAGCCGACGTGTGTGTGTGTGCCTGCGTGCGTGTGCGTGCGTGTGTGGCACGGTCCAGCCGCGCCGATGATGGTCTTGGAGGGGCCCTGCCTGGGCCTGGGCGGCCAGGCGGCCAAGCCCGGTAGCCCACGGCGGCACGGGCACACACAGAGTCCCGCCGCGCCGCGCCACAAAGTGTTAAACGTCCCGATGTAAAATGATTAGCACGTCGCCCGGACCTTCCCTGCCTCCTCCTCCTCCGGCCCATGTTTGCTGCCGCGCCCCGTGTGTGCGGTACGCGGTGCCTCGCAGTGTGCCGCGCGTTCGAAAGGAAGTGGTGCCTAGACACTAATGCACGCTTTGTTTCTTCTTTCCGCAGGTCTGGTTCCAAAACCGACGCATGAAGGACAAGCGCAACCGCCTGGCCCTGGCCTGGCCCTACGCCGTGTACTCGGACCCCGCCCTGGCCGCCTCCATCTTGCAGGCCGCCGCCGCGTCCGCGGGGGTGGGCGTCGGTGGGCTGCCCGGGCTGGCGGCCGCCTTCAGCCCCTACCCGCTGCCACACTACTACCACCCGCACGCGCACCCTCAGGCCGCGGCGCACCCCGCGCACCCCCCGCCGCCATCGTCGCTGCCGCGCTACGGCTACCCCGCGGCGCCGCCCATGCACCCGCTGCACCGACCCGCCCCGACGCCCGCCGCCGCGCCGCAGCCCGCCGTCAGCATGGCCGGGGGTGTATCCCCGCTGCGGTCCCCGCTCAGCTCGCCGCCGTGCCCCAGCACCGGCTTCCTGCGCCACGGCGCCGCCCTGGGCCAGGGCCTCGGCCAGGGCCTCAGCCCGTTCGCCGCCGTGCCCTCCATGGGCACGCCCATGCCCTGCCCGCTGCGCCTGAGCCGCCTCAGCCCCACGCACTCCGAGCACAGCTCTGGCACCGTGTCGCCCACCACCGTGTCGCCGACGGCCGCCTCGCCCGGCGCGGCTTCCCCCGCCGGTGCGGACGCCGCCGAGGACTGCGACGGCTCCGGCAGCTGCCGGTGTGGCATCGTCAACTGCGTGGCGTCGTCTTCGGCCTCGGCCACCCTGAGCACGCCCTCCTTGTCGTCGTCGGCCGCGGCCGTGTCGAGGCTGCTCATGGCCTCGGCCAGCCTACCGCCCGCACCGCTCGCCGCGCATCGCAAGGGCCTCGGTACCACCACCATCACCGACAACGGCGTCACGGTGCACCACGAGCCCGAGCCGCCCAAGCTGTTCCAGCCCTACAAGACCGAGACGGCGTAGAGCTTAGACGGCATTGCCTGTGTTTCTGAGATCTCCTTCAGTTCCTTTGGAACTCGATTGTTTCGATTGTCGGAATGCTTAGGTCTTTTCGTGCAATAACTTGCTGCTATGCAGAGCGCTGTTGGAGCGGCGCGTCCAAACTAAAAACGTGATATGATACTTGCACCAATTCCTCCATCATTACGTTACCTTGTTTTATTTTTATAATTTCTCGTCTTTGTACTGTTCCCGCCTCCACTGCCTCCTGTGCTGGCGTAGCCATTACCACTCTGATGTGATGTTGTAGTGTATATATAATTGAGGAAAACCTTGTTGTAATTTATTTGTGTTTTGAGAATCTTAGTTGGTGAATGGAGAGGGTGTCTATGTTTTATTGAATGATTGTTCTGTTATTGGTGTATCGTCAAACCAAAGAAGTGATGTATGAAAAATATATATTAAGTGATTTTATGTGCTATATATACTATTGAATTGATTGTGTTCAAATACACGCAGTTAATTAAACAACTCGCACTTTTTTCTTCCATTGTCTCCTTTCTCTCCTCGTATTTGACCACATCTGACAATCAAAGGTAGACAAATAAAACGGGGGCATGAGACTTCTGCGCCTCATGGAAAACAAAAGTCGGTCATGCAAGGAAAGAGGTTCAATACATACGGGAAGGCATCACATCGAAAGATGCCTCGATGAAAGATATCGAAAGGCAGATGCAATCGAAGTACGGATGGTAAAGAAATAAAATGTGACGGCGAGGCTGTAAAGGGGTGCGTTGTGCGTCGGCGCGTCGGCGCGTGCGCATTGTGCAACTCATGATTGCGCGTCGTCCCGTTCGCGCCTCGCGCCACTCCCAGGACACTAAGGCCACATTCAGATTCACGTTCGCGTTTCTTACACCGGCCCAAGAAACGGGCGTCAAGAGGTGGGGGACTCCAAGCATTGCTCAGTCTGTCATTAGCATCTGTTGCGGGGCGCGGAGCTCAACCCGCAGTCCGTCTCCCCGCCCCTGCATCCCTGTACGAATACTCAAGATCGATAACAGCAGAAACGACTGTGAAATTCAGTGTTTATTCAATTTCAATCACGTTTTTTCTTGCTCGCGCCGACTCCAAACTGGCGAAAGGGCTGGTGCCGGCCGGCTGCTGCATCATACACGGGATGATGCATGGTCGATTTTATGAGGGGAGAGGAACATCATTATATAGTAGTGACCCGGCCGCTTCCCTCCTCCCTCCTCTCCCCTCCTGATATGGTGCGCGCAGTGCAGGCAGCCACCCGCCCATGTCATTGCCCATTGTAATCGGCAGTCACAACAAAGCCCTGTGTTTTGATTCGCTATAATGTTTATCTCCCCTACGCCTCGCGCCTCGCGGCCCGCGGCCCGGTCGTCACGCGTCGTCGCGGTGCTCGCGGCCGGCGGAGTCGCGCGTCGCGTGTCGCCGCCAACACGTGGGACGCGGCGTTCGGCTTTTACCGGCCGACTAGACAGCTTTTGCTCTCCACAGCAGCACTTCCTTCCTTCCTATTATGTAAATAATAAATAAGCCACCGGCGACGGGAAATGGTGCGAGATGGCGGTGCAGGGAACCAAGGGAACTGGTGTACTGCACCGTCACCTACTGCATCTTGTGGTGACCCAGGCTGCAGTTGCGTGGTTGTCGGCGCGCCGCCGGCAGGCTGATTCCGAACAGGGTGGTTTCGTCGACGAGTCTCTCTCGCTCTCGGGGGGCGTCGCGCACAGGTGTGAGAGGGACAGGCACAGCAGACTCCCTGCGCGGCTGCGGCGCTGCCAGGCACTGCCAGGGTGGCGCCGGGCGGGCCTTGGCGCCGGGCCTCGCGACGGCCGCCGTCATCCACTCCGACGACAAGCTTCCGGCGTCGCTGCGCGGTCGCTGCCTGGAGGAGGTGCAGGAGTCCCTGCTGGGGGCCCGGGCCTGGCCTCGGGCAGTGCGGTGCCGCCGACGTGTTCCGATGAGAGGCCTTGTTTCTAATTTTGCAAGTCGTGCGCGTGTGCCCGCACCAGGCGTCTGCAGGCTGTTTCCGAACTGCGCCTCATCGCTCTGTCTCCCTCGCACACCGGCGGGACGCCCCACGAGTGCGAGAGAGACAGAGCGACGAAATCACTGTTCGGGAGCAGCTTGTCACGGCCCGGTGGTGCCGGTGGAGGGTCAAAGGGGTGGCGCGAGCACCGCGCAGCCTGATGCCTCGCCTGCCGGCCGGTTCCGAAGCATCGCCTCGTCGCCCTGTCTCTGTCGCACTCAAGGGGCGCGCGGAAGGGGTGCGAGAGAGACGGGGCGTCCGAACGCGTCGGATTCAGTCTCCAGCACGCTGCCGCCTGCGACTGCCTGCGACTGGTACGTACGCGGCGACGCGGCCATAAAAACAATTATTGTAAGATTATCGGATTAGGTGGGTTGAGCGGACCATCACTCAAGGGGGAGAAGGGCTGCACTGCCGTCTTGTGCGGGGAGGGGAGCGACGACACAGGGCAGCGCGAGCAGCGCGACGATCAACTGGTTGGGTACCTACATGAGCTTGCCGAGCTTGCCGAGCGCCGCGCGCCGCCCTGCTGGCCCTGCTGGCCCTGCTGGCCTGCTCGGCGGCCGCACTGAAACTTGCATGCGTGTCCCTTCCCTAGCGATCAGCCCTTCCCGGCGGGCCACCAAATCCCGCCTTTTTTATTCATCCTGGGGGGCCGCCAGGCAGGCAGGCAGGCAGGCGCGGCGCGCCCCGAGGAGACCAGGGTCGGTGATGGCGTGTAACACGCTCAATAATTCAGCAGCAGGACGAGGACGCGGAGCGCCGGGCGCGGCATGCTGATTCGAACAGTCTCTCTCGCAACCGTGCGGGTGCGAGAGAGACGGGCGCAGACTGCAGCTCAAGCAGTGCCTTACCGGAGGCCGCGTGCTACGCGTGCTACGCGTGCGTGCCGCCGAGTCGCGCATGATCCACGCTCATTCGGCCGTCTCGCTGCCGCGCTGCCGCCTTGCCGTTCCCTTCCCCCGCACCTACCCGCACCCCGGCACGACGGCCACCCCGCCAAGGCTGGCAGCGCAGCGCTGCGCCAGGCCCACCCCGCCGGCCCGCCGGCCCGCCGGGACAGGTGATAAAAGAAAATATTTTCTTGCTCCTCGTTGCTGCTGCTGCTGCTCGCGGATGAGGAGAAAGAGATGCCGGCGTTATGGGGCTGCGGGGCGTGCCAGGGGCGGGGGAGGGGCGGCCCATCTCCTCAGACAATCCCGCGTGTCCCCGGCCAATCCCTTGAGCAGGTCGTCAAGTCGTGGAACACCGTGGAGCCGTGGGGCACAGCGGCGCGGCGGCGCAGCGACACAGCAAACAAGGTTCACAGCATAAAGGCGCCTTTTTGATTTCGTCCAGCCAGCAGCCCTCCTCCCGCCCGGGCTCCTCCTCCCCCCGCCCGGCTGTCCGCGCCGTCCTCCCTCCCCGCACTATCTCATTTCTCTTCCGCAGCTTACATAAGCTCAGCAGGTCTTTGCGCAGTTTATTTTCTCCCCCACCTGAGCCCCGCCCCGCCCCGCCCCGCGACGTCTGGGCGGGCAATCCTGGCCGACTTGGCCGACTTCACTAAATAGACGTTATGTGAAATGAATTGCCGCCGACTCTCTATCTTCCCATCGCCTCGCCTAGCTCCTTATTCGGGACCCCCGAACAATGCTTTCGTCGCTCTGTCTCTCTCGCACCCCCACGGAACGCCCCGCGAGTGCGGGAGAGACAGAGCGAAGAAAGCCCTTGCTCGGCGTCGTCCCGCTGCTTCGCCTTTGGCCCCCGTTTCCAGCCTCCAAACTTTCCCCGCGCTCAACGTGATTTTCCGGAAAATTTTGCAGTGAAGTTGGCGGCAAAACTGCGCCGTAGATTTTTCATACACTTTGTCCTCGCTGAAGGGATGGCGACGGCGACGTGTTCGATGCAATGACAATGACTCGCGCACTGTATCTTTATTGGGCGGCACAGATTGGACTGCATCGCGGTGCTGGGGGTCTCGGGGTGCTCGGCATGCCGGCCGCGGCCGGCAGATCAGTTTCCCCTTATCGGTCCGAGGCCCACCAGGCCCACCAGGCCCACCAGTGATACGCCGAGTCTCGTCCGACTATCTGGCAGAAAATAAAGCAAACCGAGCGAGCGTCGGCCCTGCCTCGTCCGAATGGAGAGAATCATGTCGAGATAAACGCGTGGGAGGGCCGGGCCGAAATTGAGTGGGGAGAGGCGGTGCGGGACGGGTGGGGCTCTATTCGCGAGAAATAATGTCGGGCCGCCCCTCGCCGTCAGCCAGCCAGCCAGTCAGCCAGCCAGTCAGCCCGGCGGACCATAATCTTGATTGGACAGCTATTGCTTGCTATTGCGGCTGGAAGAAGGATGGGCGCCACAGCGTAGCGCCAGCGCCCACGCGGCGAGGAGTGGAACAACAAGAACAAGAGGAGCAGCGCCACCAGGCTACCACCAGGCTGCCACCTAACCTGGAAGACTTCTTCGACGCTATTTTGAACAAATTCGGCTGCATTGGCCGGCTGCGTGTCTGTCAGAGGACGGACTGGTTAGGTCAGGTTAGGTTAGGTTAGGTTAAAGTAAAGTTAAGGTTAGATAAGATTAGATTCTGTCCTCGCTGTCGGGCGTGTCCAGCCGGGCTGGCCGGGCTGCAGGGGATTGGCGCTGGCCGAAATGAGGTCCGAGGGCCAACAGCGCCAACAGCGCCAACAGGGAGGAATGGATGGTCTTTATCCGCCTCACACTGCCACGCTGCCACGCTGTGGCCAGCCCGACCCAGCCAGTGTGGGCGCGCGGCGTGCGGGGAAGGGAAAGGGTGGACCGCCGGGCTCCTCGGAATGAAAGAACTCGCGCGGGGCAGTCTGGGTAATGAAATGAAGAACGCTTAATTATCACTTGCGAGTTCTTGTTTCGTACGTTTTCTCGCCGCCAGCCTCCCCTCCTCTGCCAACAACGTCATCACACGAACACACACGCGCGTGCGCACACACACTTGGCGCAACGTCTTCGCCGCCTCAGTGGCAAAAGTCCTGCAGATTCTTTTATGTGGCCACACCCCCAGTGTATAAAGCCTCCCGCCGCTCTCCCCTGCCTCTGTTTGTCCCTCTCTCCGTCTCCTTTCCTCTCCGTTCCTCTCCGTTCCTCTTCGTTCCTCCATTCCACGGCCTTCTCGTGAAGCTGCCTTGCCTGCTGAGACGTCCACGTTAGTCATTTGTCTTCGTTTCCAGTCCACGCTTCCTATTGCGCTGTTGCGTCGTCGGCCGCCCCAAATGGGGGCCATGAACACCATTCTCCGATATTGCGGCCCGGCCTGCCCGGCCTGTGTGCCCTGCACGTCGCGCTGTCTCTCTCGCACCCCGACGGACCCGACGGGACGGAACGCCCCACGAGAGGGAAGCGCCGAAAGCGCTGTTCAGCCGCTGGGCCCCGCCATGTTGCGAGGAGCCTCCTCGGCCTCCTCGGCCTCCTCGGCCCTCCGACCAGCAGCGCCACGGCCGCCACGGCC